TTTGCAGTGTAGATTGTGTACAAATCAGCAGAGGAGGTTTAAAACATGCTTGGAGAGAAAGCTTTCTAATAGTGAGGATGGCGAAGAACTAAATCAGATCACCTGTGAGGGTTGTGGAGCAGGCTAGTTCAATGACTGAAATTTTTTTTGACTTGTAGACCCTTTCTACAAGTTTTCCCACAGAGAATACCTTTTACAGTCAAGTTTACCAACAACAACCTTGCTTTTTGAAGTTCCTATCCCTTAAGTGTCACAGTCCCTGAACCACAAAAATCACTGGCAGAGGTTTTCTATGCCTCAGTACCTCCTTTGAAGTGATGGTAAGTAGGGGCAGAAGCTCCATCCAATGCCTCAGTAAACAGGCACAGCATCGCTGCTGCTGAGCTGTCTGACTCGTAGTACTCTTCCATGAGTTTCATTGAAGCAGAATTTGGCTTTAGATGACCTGTGAGCAATGCAGAGAACTGTGTGAGAACTGATAGGGAACCTGGCTGTGCTTATGTTTTTTTAACCCATAAAATTTTCTGCTGTAGAAGGATTGTAGTGAAGGAGCTCTGTGTCCTGTCTTTGGTAATAATAAATAGGAATTTTTTTGTAGAAATCTGCCCGAGTGTTGCTGGGATGGGCAGGGGGGTGGAGTGGGATGGGATGGTGAGCCTGGGTGCTAACCTGTAGCCTGACCAGTATAGATCACAAATCAGACAGAGGCTGAAATGATAGGGGGAGAAAAAAGCGTACTACGTGTAGCAGCAGGTTTGCATTTACAAAGAGCTTTAATAATAAATAATGGCCAGTCTTCGCGAGCGAAGATTTGGGAAAGGTCATTAGTACCTCCATGTTTCCTTCTCCCTGTCTGTCATTTGCCTTCATTCCCCCTGGGCTTTTATATTTTGTTACTGGTTTGGTATCTTCCCTATCCATCAGTTCGGCACATCCCATTAAGCAGCTTTTCTTGATTGACTAATGAGATGCTGTATTTGGCAATGCTTTTATCACTGCCTTTTATTACTCAGATACATTTTCTGCATTTTCACTTGCTATTCTTTAGTGGTTACTCTGTTGTAACTATTTACTGTTGTATGCCCATCACCTCACTCGGATTTCTTAGGTCAGTTGTTACCAATCTCTCCTGTCATTTCCTTGCCCAATCCTTCCCAATCGTTGTCCCTTCTGCTACTTCATTCAGATTTTTTCTACCATCTTCCCCATCCAGTACATCACTCTCCTCCTATGCCCAAGACCCCCTTTCAGATAATCAAAAAGTAAATAGAGGATAAAAGCATTTCCAGAGGGAGATTCATCCCACCTTAAGATAGCTGTCTAAGCCAAGCAGGATGAATCATGTCAGTGGGTTCCTATCTCTTTCATTAGCTATAGAAGTCTAACTAGGACAGACCAGATACTTACAGAGAGTTAAGTATAAGTAAGATGAATACCATTCATGTAAGTTGCTAGGACTTAAAATACTGAGTATTAAGACAGCGTGTGCTACTGCTGTCATTACAATGACAGAAGGGCAATTTAGGAAGCTATTTGTAAGTCATAGGATTTTGGCAGTTGTTTAGCCCACAGCACTAAGACTATTTAGAATTAACACATTTTTGAATCACCTTTTTGTGTCTCAATGATTAGCAGCATAAAATTCCAGGTGCAAGCTGGCCTTTTAATCCAAATAATAGCTTTTCCCCCATCATACATAAATACAGCCTTCACATAGCAGTATGTTAACTGCAGTAATGCTATTCTCAGAAGATTAAAAGAAATATTCCTACTTTCATCTGCCTAGCATATTCTGAGGCTGTGAGGTATTTCAGAATTAGCATAAATACTGGTCTAGATGTGCTCTTTCAGCTTTTACTTAAAGGGATTGCTGTATTCTTGACACCTGCTTATTTCATTCTCCAAAAATGTAACCTGTGAGAATAAAGAAAGGAACCCAAGGACAAAATGTAGAGCTCCTTCCTTCTGTTGTGTGGTGGCTTTACTGACATAACTCTTAGACACCAAGATAGAACCAAGACTGTACGAATTCAAAACTTCTTGGGTTTTGCGAGGTCAGTGATATACTTTCCACTGACAAGATTTTTGTAGACGTGGTGAATGGTAGAGTATTAATGTAAATCTGTCTGGTTCTGCCAGCATAGATGCTGAGGCTGCTGTTTACCCAGTTCAGAAGTCCTGTGTAACCTGGCCCATTGTACAGTACAGCTGCCCAAACTTCTATTGTGTGCTCAGGCAGGGCATGGGTGCACCATGCATCAGCCACACTCTCGTAGTTAGAGTGTGTCTGCCCTTGTCTTGTGGCATTTCGTGTTTACTGTGGGTGCGATTGGCATAGGGTGGCTAAAGTGCTGCAATTCTGTACATTAATAATTTGTGAAGGTATCCATACCCTCCAGGAGGTGTTAATGGCAACATGCGTGTTCATCCTGTGGTTATTGCTGGTGTAGCACAGTTGGGTGTATGTGGCTTGTTGGTGCCCTTGGAAACCTACTGGAACTTAACTGTGTAGACATGCCCAACAGAATGATGCCCTGTGTCCATGTCTGATATGTTTGGATGTTAATAGAAATATGCTGTTAGCAAAATATGCAAAAGGGATGTATCATTAAAACCAGAGTTAAAAGACCTTCATGAGAAGGTTTGGCTAATGTCCATACCCAAATAGTTAACTGCTAACTCTGCTTTTCCTGCATGGAGGAGTGCGACAGATTGGAAAATTAAACGTAAGCAGGGAGAAGAGTTACAGATAAACATGATTAGCAATAACTTGTAGAGAGATTCATGGTAGTGCCTCACTGGCAATTAAATAGTCAATGGCTTGGACAGAATCCTTATCAAAAGAAATCCCTATATTGCCAACTGTACACATCACTCTGCTCTCACACACTATGGGATGTCTCTGCTGCTACTGAGAGGTGGTGTGACTCTCAGCTGACTGCCACAGCTATTAGGGTGGAGGTGAGGAAGTTCTGCTAAACAAATTTGAAGATACACAAATAATTGGAGGGAGAGAAGGTACATATCTATCTTCTGTGTGTCCATACATATTTGTGGATTTTCAAATATATATTTTATGCCTTCCCTGTGTGAAAGTTCTAAGAATCTGCTAATGTATCTAGCTTGGAAATGTGAACCACACTGACATGATGCCTTTGTTTTTTCTGGTGCAACTCCTATGAGTGTAGATGATATGCATGATAAATCTTTCACCTTGGCAGAGAGAAAGAGAATTGTTTAATATTTAACCAAGGTTGTCTTTTACTTCAACATCCATTGATAGGGGACTGCAGTAACAAATATGTAAAACTGTATTTGTTTTTGCTAAGAGGAGTGCTTGGAAGGAGAAAGGGATAACCTTTCCCTAAGGAATAAGCTTCAATTACAACAAAAGATGAGACTGTTTTTAGAATAGATCAAATAAAGCCCACATTACACTGAAATAGTTTAATACTTGTTTAAATAGCACCATATTTAAAACACAGTAGTTGAAACAGTGGCTTTTGAATCAATGTGGTTAAACTGTGCAAGTTGCTGTGTCTGTTGCACTCGTCTACTCAAGTTCTCACACCAGACTATCTGATTTTCCCATGGGGAGCAGCGCGTCAAAGTTCATGTCATATTATCTCCTGTTTACTGAAGAAAATGGTCCAGTGAACCAGTTATCTGAACTCACTGAATCACAGATTCTTTAAGGTTGGAAAAGACCTCCAAGGTTGAGTCCAACCTTTGACTGAACTGCACTGTATCAATTAAATCATAGCACTAATTGGCATATCCAGTTGTTTCTTGAGCACCTCTGGGGATGATGACTCCACCACTTCCCTGGGCAGCCTGTTCCAATGTCTGACAACCTTTTGAGTGAAGAAATTCTTCCTAATGTCCAAACTGAACCTCCCCTGGCACAGCTTGAGGCCATTTCCTCTTGTCCTGTCACTAGTTGCATGGGAGAAGAGGCCAAGCCCCACCTGGCTACAACCTCCTTTCAGGTAGTTGTAGAGAGAAATAAGGTCTCTCCTGAGCCTCCTTTTTTAACAGGCTAAACACTCCGAGCTCCCTCAGCTGCCCCTCCTATGACTTGCTCTCCAGATCCTTCCCCAGCTTCATTGCCCTTCTCTGCACATGCTCCAGCACCTCAATGTCTTTCTTGAAGTGACTCCCAGTCATGCACCCTTCTTGCTAAAGAAAGAATTATTTTTTAGTATCTGTAGATTCCTCAAGGTTAGATAAGGACCATGTTTCTATAACTGCATTTAGTTACATTTACACCACTGGGAAAAATTCCTTTTATTGATAGTAAGCATCCTGCCTGGCCTGCTTTTTCATCCTTCCTGGAAATTTAGCAGAGTTTTTAAAGGGAAAATGTAAAATTAAAAAAGGTTTAACACAAATAATCTTTTTTTTTTTTTTTTTGGTGACCGTTTAATAGATCTGAGCTGCATCTCAGCTCTGTACAAATCTGGTATGTTGCAGGTAGGAAAGAGCTGTGTCATAATTTCCTGTACTCAATGCATTTTTTACCAGTCTCAAACTAATTTTACTTGTTTTAGTGACATGCGTATTTGTTAATCATTATTACATTTTCTCTCATTGGGTTTGTAAAATATCTCAGCAATCTATAGAAATAAGCCTACTGAGAGAATGCTGTAGTCTTGCAGATAAAAAAGATCTACTACACCTGTGGAAACCCAAACAAGAAAGGAAAACCCAAACCTGTTTTTTCACAGCTTTTAAAAAATTTTGCTATAAAAGATATTATGAATAGGGTGTTAAAGTAGAATTGAGGTACCTATGGGCTAAAGAGCTGGAGATTTCACAGAAAATGAGTGGGCACACGTAGCTTTCAAACACTTACTCTGTTGGGCTGAAATCTGTAAGCTAGAATTGCCTTTGAATACCTAGTCTTGCTGATTAGCGTGTAGGCTTTCTACCAACACTTACAAAAGAAGCCTGCCAGGAGCACAGGCCGGCAGTGAGTGATGCTGCGCTGCCTCTTGCAGATGCGCACAACACGCAAGGTGTCCGTGTGGCCCGTGGGGCTGGTCGGGGGACGGCGGTACGAGCGCCCAGTCGTGGAGAACGGCAAAGTTGTTGGCTGGTACACGGGCTGGAGAGCGGACAGGCCCTTTGCTATTGACATGGCAGGTAAGGATCAATTTACATGATACATGAATGTTTCTCATAATAACGGATTTTCTCAAGGTAAGCAGCTTTTAAAACTTCCCAAGTGTCAGCACTGTATGCAGCCCTTTGGCACTAAATATCCCGGAAGTCTTAGCTTGCACATCTTGTCTAATTAAGTTGCTGCTTGGTGATATCTGAAGTTACTTTCATTTGTTTTTAATTTTATGTGGCAACTTGGCTTTTATGTTGTATAAATTGTTTGTCTGAAACAAGTTAATTGTAAGTTAATTCATCGAAGTAATTTTTGCAAGGAGCACCTGCCTGTCATTGTGTCATCAATCTAAACCAGGTAGTATAAATACAGACCCTTCATAGACCTCATGTTGTAAAATGCTACTGTATCATGAAATGATTCATTTTGTATTGGTTATTAGGAATGACAGTGATAACTGTAGATGGATATAGTTTGAAACACTGGGCTTAGGTGAAAAATCACTGACAGCTATTGCCTAGTAGATGAAGGCAGAAAAGCTTCAAAATGGATGTAATCAATCTTCTGCAGTGAAGTTTGCACACCACACAGCTCTGTCTTGCTGTCAGTCCATGCTTAGACAATCTCTTGAATATATTCACAACTGCCACATGAATCACCACTGTGCAGAAGTCCAATTTCTGATGTAGCAGCAGCTGATTTCCTAGCAAGCGATACGATATTTGCACTTAGGCACTTCTGTATCAAGGAGGGAAGGGGAAAAGTAGGAATACAAGGGCAAGAACAGGAGAGAAATAGCCACTTTTTTTTCCTCTGGTACACTTATATTTTGGGAGAGGGAAAAGAACAGTGCTTTCTCACTTTGGCAGAATATATTAATTGAAATGTCTGATGATAAATATGTACACTATATACAGTTGTATTGGTTAAAAAGAATAAAGTACTAATTGTTTTTAACACCTCAAAGATAGAAACATCAGCAGGTGAATTTTTCTGTACTATAGGGGCATTTCAAGACAATAATACCACCTGGCATAAAAATTAATATTTGGGTGTTCAGGTAGAGGCATTCCACAGGGGAGATGTAGGTACGTCAATGCCCAAACCCATGCAGCGTGTCGAGCACTGCAGCTGTGCATTTTATCAGTCTCTGCCTGTGGACTCACAGATACCTATTGATACAGTGCTGCAGAAGGGATTACTGATGGGCATTATTTAGGTGAGAGCATGGTTCATAATTCATTAGCAGCAGGCAAAAAGCCATTACACAACAATGGCCAGGGGACTCTAACTGAGACATGAAGAGATACTTGGAAAGTTCTTAAGTTGTGGTTTACTTTGCAGTTGCTGGCTGAATCACTGGCATGAGGGAAAAGCAGCTCCATTAGGAGCATTACCTCCTTGTACTTTTATGAAAGTCACAAAAGGGAGGGTTATAGAGACAAAGAAACATTGCTAGTACAGGAAGTTACTGCAGATCCGCAAACAAGGAGTTACTATTTTGTAAGACAACTTTTATTAGTCTTCAAAAATACTGAAGAAATTAAATTACATTTTTAATTTCAGCAAGGAGAGAAATGGATGCTGTGTAGAACGCTAAAAAAATTATGTGAAAGTTGCATCTTCAGTCCCCTCAGGAAGGGCACTAACAGAACAGAACTGCAAATCCAGAACTTCATAGGTGTCTGAGCAGGTACAGTCTACAGGACACATGTCAACACTCAGTTTCCTACCCATGCCCTTTGCTCCCAACTTCCCAACACACCCCTGCAGACTTGGGAAACTTGCTAAAAAAACTAAGTCCATGCTGTGGTCCATCACTGGCATTTCTCCATCTCCTCACCAAACACACAAGCAATTTAGGTTATACTGCACATAAGGAAGTTCAAGGACCTCTTTTGAAAATACTGCCATGAAAAAAGTATAGGTGCATATATTAAACTGCTCAGCTGTCTACAGTTAATGTTCTGCACTGGTCAATGCACTGGTAAGGAAGCTCCCTTTGGTTTACTGAACTATCTTTTCATAATGATTTTCACAAGAGTTTGATCATGAGTCTGGGTGTGAACACAAGACCACTTAAAAGGTTTGGAATCACTGATATATCTTGTGGCTGTTCAGATGAAGCTTTTAAGCACATAAAACTTCTTATTCTAGGCTTCAAAATACAGAGTCAAATTCAAATTACTGCAAGTGGAGACAGATCCTGCTGATTTCACTGGGCTCAGCTCAAAGACCCTAGCTGGCCAACCTCCCCAGACTCCATGAAACACACTCACACATCGCAGTCACATTAGATCAGTTCATTAAGCACTGGTTATTTATTTTGAGAAATTTGTGGCTGACACTGCTATTCTCCAATGCTAAATTGCATTCAGAAAGCAGAGTAGCTGTTTCCTGTGCTGCTTCTTGACTGGCAACCAACTCACCATATGAATTAGTTCAGATGTTTTCTAAGTTCTGCTTCAGTTTTAACTGTAGGTGAGTTCTAGAGTTTGACACAAACTTCCTTACCCTCAGGGAAGAAAAGTGAGAAAGAATCTTGAAAGCAAAAAGGTGACATTGATTCTGAATTAGGCAGTGTGTTAATTAATATGGACCTGATTTAAAGTCTTCTATATTAAATACGGCTGTTTTAAATTTGGCTTGTTCCCAGTGCCAGAATTTTGGACCACTCATGAAAACATGTTACATCATGATTCTCCTAGTGTCAGGATTGTTCAAGAAGGCAGGCCCATGCTTTACATTAGCATTCCAGGAGTTACTTCAGGCACAGGGATTAGTACATGCCTGTAAATGACTAGGCAAGCAGATTTTGGATGTGTGGTGCAGAGCTCATCCACTGTGCCTGAAGTGCCTCTGCTAGGGCCTGAGAAAACACCTTTTTTTTTTTTTAATTTTCATTTTGCTATAGTTATGAGTCCTTCAGTACATCTCATCTTTCTTAGGGTTCCCTGAGCAAAAAGCTAGTCTATTCATGACACCACAAAACATGGCATATTTTGACTGACTCTGAAAGAGCCACTGCTGGAAGACACAAGTGCAAACAAAAAAATTTTGAGTGGCTATGGCAGACAGCATGCTCAAAAAAACCAAACCCCAACTTCTCCTCCGTGAAAGGGTTAATACTATTTTAAACATTGAGTTTACAATCAAGAGCCTTTCATGGTGAATTAATTGTGAGCAGATGCCTTTGTTCTGAACTATAGAAACCCCTGGTTAGCCATCTCTGCCTTATTGCAACCCAAACTCTGTGTCACAGGGAGAACAGTGAGAGCAGCAGAGCCCAAGCCATGGCACATCCAACAAGCCAAAGGTTGTTGTGGTACCTTAAACCATGTGGACACCAGTAGGTCTGTTTCTACATTAGCATTTATACACTCCAGAAATTATAAACTCTCAGTTTCCAGCTTGCCTTCATCCACTATCCTATCTAGAACATCTAGGAAGCAATGGCATTAATCATGGCAACAAAATCTTTAAACACTGGCTCAAGTTTAACTGGATGAAAAAAAAATAGTTCTGCCTTTTAACAGAAGCCACTGATTTAACACAAGTCAAGGTGTGAATTAATAGAAACAGCTTATGTTGAAAGAAGCACAGATATAATCTTTGCCACATCTCCCAGGTATCTTATCCTCCAGCAAATTAATTCCTGTATAGGTGGTTCTTCAGCCAATTAGATTTAATTTACAACCTTGCATTAAACACCATAAAACCCCCAAAACACCTCTTCACACTCCAGCTATGAAATTGTCTTGTGGCACATCATATGAGCTTAAACCCAATATGACCTTGTAGGAATAATGATTAAGTAAAATAACTGTATGCATGTAAGCACTGTTCAGTTATGCTACACTGGAGACAGTAATCCCAAATTAATCCCTGTTTGGTGATAGAATTCAAAATAACAGCATATTTTCATCTATTAGCACAGGCTCATTATCTACTGAGAGAAATTAGTAGAGAAATTAGTGCCAGTCTGGTCAAAACCTGAGCCATCTCCTCTCTTTTCGACACCAGAATGATACATCTGTAATAAAAAGTCAGTGGAAAGGTGTCACTAGAAAGTGGCTTTCTCCCAAATCCATCTTACAAAATGTCATACATGTGAAATTAAAGCAGTTATAAAGCAAAGCTGAAGAACTAAAATAGGCAGGACATAAATCTCCTTGCATTATTTTCTCTCTTCAGGTTGTTGCTTTATTGGATTTTTTAAGAAACAAAGACTGCATGACCACTGACCAAGGAAACAAACCTCAGGCCAGTCTGTGCACAGTAGTCTGTGTCCTTGTCACCCCCAACACTCAGTTTATAATTTAAGTTTTATTTGATGCCTGATTTTTGATAGCACCCTATAATGGCAATTTGCAATAGCATGGTAGCAAGGGCACGTGTTACATGCAGGGGACACGCCCCATCTGAAGATCTGTGCATAGGAGAAATCCACCCTCAGAACTCCATGCAATTTTCTCAACAGAGGAGCAAGCATAAGAAATTAATCAATGTATGGATAAGTATGGGCTGAGGGAGCCAGGGAGCCACACTGACACATACTGAGGTAAGCAGTGGAAAATCCGTGCCTTTTCTGCTTAGAATGGGATTCCTTCCCCATTCTAAAAACTAGGCCACTACCTTAATTATTTTGGTGTTTACTTCATTTATGCATGGCCAGCTTGAATCCTAAATCTTTTTGAAAAGAAACAGCAGCTCACACAGCTGATCAGGATTCCAACAATGCCTTCCCATGCAAAGGAACTTTTTTTTTTTTTTGGTGCCCAAAATTATCAAAGCCCAGTTGCATCCAAAATTTATTGCTTTTTCTAACTGAGGAAAAAACCCCAACAAAACCTAACCAAAACCACTAAACTGAAGCAGGTCAATTTGTTCATCAGTATTAAGTCCAAGGTCTCTTTCAAGGTGGTGCAAGCTGGCTGTACACGCTGCTGCTGTCTCTTGCTGAGGGAGTTTAAACACTCGATCTCAGCTCTTCCCAAATGATTACACTTGCCTACCAACAACGCTGGGATGGAGCCCATCTTGTGCTCTCTCATGACCAGTCTACAAGTTGTAGGAAGCAGGAAAGGCCTGCAGCCTGCTGCAGACAAACCCCTGGTGGGGAAGAGAAGTCCAGAGCATTATTCTGCCTGGGAGCACTGAGCTAAGCCCAGCAGCTGCAGCAAAGAACAGCTGGATCCCAGCAGTGATGCTGCAGAAGTTAACTGAGTGAGGACAGGCTGCAGCCAAGGTCTCACACCTCCTGGAAGTCTTTTATTCACCAGACTGCTCTGCAAGGTGTGGGCAATATGCCCTCTCCATCTAGACACCTCTTCTTCTTTATCTCAGACAAGATATAATGTATGAAGTTACAAAAAAGATATAACATATACACATGTCTTCTGCAACTGTGTCCATCAGTGAATTGGAACCTTAGTTTGTCCAACCCATAGTTTTTATCAGGGTCCAAATCTTTATTTAAAACAAAACAAACTTTCTGGTGTCTTCCTGTGCTTTCCTGCAAGCAAGAGCAGGAACCACTGAAAGTGGTTTCAGTACGCCTTTCTTTACACGTGATGTAATAATTACTTCCTTATATTTTCCTCTTCAAAAGGCCCCCACAAAAGTCACAGATACTTTCAAGGAAAATACAGTAGCAAGACAACTGTAGTAAAAATGGGTTAGAATTACATTAAGTTAGAGAAAGCTATTCTCAATTTTAAATCAATAACATTTTAATACTGGCTTTAGAATTAAATGTTCTTGCCGTTTTCCAGAACTGATGTGAAAACTGTTACTACTTGTGTCATAAAGGGACAGCTGGAACCACTCTGAACTGACGAAGAAAGGATTTCTTTGGTAGGCTTGGCAATCAGACATAACGAGTTAGTTACAAATGTAATGTTTCTTTACAAGTCAATCAGTTTAGTTTTGAGTCCTACTGAAAGAACCATACATGTGACTGAGCATAGCTGAAGGAAAACTGGAGAGTTCTATAAATAATGGCAAATTGGAGATTCATGGGAGCTTCTTCAGAGAGGGCGAGTTTGTTCAAACCAGTGATTTCTCAGTGTGCAATCTCCCTTCAAGGGACCGAATGCATGTTACCGGAGGAATGCATCGCAGAGAGGTGTGTGCACCAAGAAGTCCTTTCAGCCGTGCTGTGCCATGTACAGATCACCTGCAGACTGCCTTGCAGACCACCAGTGGTGAAAGTCATTCACAAGTCCACAATGACTACACAGTGTGCAAGGCAGAGCATTAATGTGGCTTGTCTTTCACCAACAACGTTAAAAACTCTCTACAGGCTGAAACTCTCCAAAGATCACAGTTGTAATGTATTTTAACCTTTTTTCTGACTTTCACCTTTAAATGTAGAAAGTGTTTGTACAGTATAAATTTTATACATTTTATTTTACTTAAAATTGAGTTTTATTTCTTAATTAGAAGTAGAAAGGATGAATAGTCCAGGATCTTAGCAATATCTGACTTTTCAGGGCAAAAAAATATATATTCCTTACATGACAGGAAATAGATTAAACATGTTGAAAATATGGTGCAAAAAACATCTGATTGTATCTTGAGGGCAAAACACAGAAATGCAGGACATACAAACCTACCAAATATTCATATAATCAAATTTAGACAATTTTAAAAAGAGCATGGGAGATTTCTAGGCTTCAATGTAACTGCACAAAAATGTAAAGCCTAAAGGTTTTTCTTAACTTTTTTTCCCTGTCCCCCTCTATCCAAGGATTTGCTGTGAGTCTTCAAGTGATCCTGTCGCATCCCAAAGCCGTGTTCAAGCGTCGTGGTTCTCAACCAGGAATGCAAGAATCTGATTTTCTGAAACAGATAACAACAGTGGAGGAACTGGAGCCAAAAGCAAACAACTGCACAAAGGTACCAAGTTCCACACTTTCTAAAAAGCTTTTGCATCATCTCTGTAGATGACTGTACTGACACAAATGTTATTTTATAGGTTCTGGTATGGCACACGAGAACAGAGAAGGTGAATCTAGCTAACGAGCCAAAGTACCACCTGGATACAGTCAATATTGAGGTATGATGTGGGGAGACAGTTACACAGCAAGTGCAGGACAATGGACGCGTCAGGACGTGTTTGAATTCAGCCAGTTAAAATCATCTGGTTCTGTGTGAGACCTGATGGACTTCTGTGGAAACAAAAGGAAGTTGTCAGAGACTCTAGTAAGCAAATCAAGTGGGTGTGCTTGTTCTAACTTGTCTGCATGCATTTCTGAACTCTCAGCTTAATAAACTGACACTTACCTTTGTTTTAACGCTGTTTCCACATAGAGAAATGTGGTGTAATGGTATTTTTTCAAAATCATTATTTATGTATATACTTTTTGTATTTATCCAGCTTAATGGTGTAATTATAAACTGATTTTAACTCACAAACTGTTGATCTAAATATCTGCATAAATGGATCCTCCAAACTGAACATGTTTTACTTCATTAGAAGTAGCGGTCAAATAGGTTGTACAATAACAAAATAAAAACCCAGAGTCACTTATGGATTTATCCTTTTAATATAGGGAAATAACATTTTATCATTACGAGGCACCATAAAATGTAAACACAATCACTGTCATAAACCTGGATCTCTGCAAGGAAAAATATATCCATTCATTTGGAGTTACCTTGTATGCATATTGTGCCGCCAGTTCTCAGCATTAATACTGTGCGTGTGCCTCATGAGCCAGATCAGAGACTTTATCACAGGAAACTCAAATGCATCCAATGCTCATTTTTAAAAGAATAAACTATTGATTTGTAGAACTACAGTAACATCCAGGTTTATCTTTCTTTCAATAACCACATTCCCTGTTATGCACACCATAATAACATCACAGTGAAATGTATGATGAAACAAAATTTGTTTGATACACTAGAAAACATTGCTCGGTGATACATTTACATTCTATTTATATATGATTAAACATTTGTTCATAGAGTACCTTCTACAGGATTACTGGGTAATTTGGGGGGATTGGGGTTCATATTTTTGGATATTACTAACATGATAGCTACGTCCCTTAATGCAAACATTTGATCTAGAATTTTGAGGGAAAAAAAATCAGTATGTGGTTAAGCAGCTTCTTAATATGGTCTATGAAATCATATGCATTGTATGAAAATGCTTCCAATGATGTATAAATATATTCCTGATCTGCTTTTCACTACATCAAATTTAAATCAATATAGACCACAACACGGTCAGTCAGTTATATTCTTAATCTGAACAGCTGGGAAAAAAAAAAAAAGAATATATATGTACATGGAAGGAACAGCAAAAGTAAATGCATTTGAACAAGGAATGTTAGGTGGCTGTTCTGGGAGAGACTTCTATTGCAACTTTCATTTCCACAGTTGTGTGCTGAGAGTCTGGCCAGAGGAGCTTCCAGTCCATCCTGCCGCTGTGCTGGGGGGCTGGCCAAAGCCCATCACGTTGCTGGAACTGCTGAGGTTCATTCCAGCCATTTGCTGATTCATCTGCGAAGCACAAACACATGCATGAGGCTGGTTAGCATTGGCACTGAAACACAGCATGCTGCTGGCCAAAAGCAGTCCTGCCTCCAATCAGACACTCAGTTAAGAGTACATTTCCCTAAAAATGTTTCTCTTTAAATAAAAATACTGACCCAATCTAAGTTTCTAAGCCTTTTTCCACGCTACCAGCTTTTCTGGAGCCCTTCAATCACCATCATACACCAGCTGACAGGCTGCAGCACTTGGTGTATGTGTCACATCTGTATGAAAGTTCCACTAAGGAACTGACACAGCATGTGAAGGAGATGGCTGATGTGGTTGGTTGGTAAGAGTTTGCTTTCACAGTGTCAAAGCTAACCAACAAAATTATGGTTAGAGAGATAAAGAGACACCAAAGCCAGTAATATAGCCTTGTCTGCACTTGCAACTCCAGATTTTTTTTTTTGTTCTTTGGAGACCTCATAATCTTGAATACACAAGTTTTTATAGAAATTGTCCATTTAGGTGGCAATCAGCAAAGAATGAGGTGGGTTTATAAACATGAATATTATCTAAATCTAACCATTATTGCTAAAGAATCTACTCAAGATATTGTAATTCCTTAAATGAATTAAATAATTCACATGAAATTAAATTCATGTGAATTTAGCACCTGGTTAAAGGTGGGAAAGAGTTCGAAATTCAGCACATTCACTTCAAGTATGGTGCAAAACTATTCATACTCTCTACAAATATTATCTAATCACTGTAATTTTCAGTGCTCGATGTAAAAACAAGTTTGAGAGCAAAAATTATTCTCTGCTTATGTTACCTTTAATTGAATTATTCACTGATTTGTTAACACGTGCCTCTGAGCAGTTCATAGTCCAGCAGTCTGTAACATGGCTACACTGCACCTTCCTCCTACAGCTACACATTTTGGAGCTGAAAAGCAGTATCTTTTCTAAAGCACTCTTGTCTGGGAAGCCAGTCTTTACCTGAGAGAGGTTCCATTGAGCTTGTTGGTTTTGTTGCAATCCATACTTATTTTGTGGTGGTGTGACCATCTGTCCCACCATTCCACCTTGAGGTCCAACGACATTTTGAGGAAGTCCCATCACACCAGTTTGTGCAGTACCAGTAAATCCATTGGGCATTCCCATTCCTATCATCACGCCTGTGCTCTGTCCCATGACTGGCACCGATTGTCCCATCACGTTTCCCATCATCCCAGTTGCTGCTGGCACAGGAACTCCCATGGCTGGAAAGCCTTGAAAGTGAGTTGATGGTTGTGTGGTAAATGGCATAGAAGATGACCCCATGAACATACCTGTACCAGAGAAGGGAAGATTTCAGCGAAAGCATTTTGTGATTTTCCTCCCCCATCCCCATAGGTCAGAAGTGCACCAAAATAATTTCAAAGGATAAGTGTATCCAGTTGTATGTCAGAGCTGTCAATTTACCTTCTGTTAAAACTGAAAATTTGCTTAAAACTTTGAAAGAAAAGGGACTCACCACAAGATTAACTGCCAAGAAGAGTTTGGCAAATCCCTGTGGCCAACCAGAATCTTTTAATTGCTGTATTGGAGGTCTTTGTTTTCGCACAAACATAGCTAAACCCAAGCTCTGACAGCTCCATACAGATCTTGGCAGCTGCTGGTTGCACAGTGGAGACTCAGATCTTCAGCAATGAATTAGATCGCAGAAGATAAGTTCACAAATCTTTCAGTAAACTGTACACTTGATAATTTGAACTGCTATAAATAAATTAAAATCACATACCGTATTTTTCTTTAGCTTCCGTATTACATTTCAGTAATGTTTCTCAGTTTTATAAAAGGTAAAATGAAAAATCTTCATTTGACTGTAGTTAACAGGTAGCCAACCTTAACTTTGTATTTGTAGAAGACAACTGTTCTAGGTAAAGCTTAAACTAGGACTGCACAGAAACCTTCACAAAATTATTTACCTGGAGCATTTTGCTGCTGCATGGTTCCTGTGCCATACAGTGATAAAATGGAGTCTTTGGAGAGTTGTTTCTTTGCTGACTCTTCGGATTTTGTTGTTTGCTCAGTAAATAGATCAAGATCCCCGGATGCCGCAGACAAGGTAGCAGCTGCTGGTTTAGTGGAAGTGCTCTGGGAAATAAAAGTCAAGACAGACTACTGAATGAAACTGGAAAAAGGCGTTACGTTAAATATTTACTGCACAGCCTTGCTCCTCAATCAAATAAAATCCTGCTCATTTACAGAAACTAGATTTTAAGTAAATGAGGATCTAAAAAGATGTGGTATGACTAAAGACAAAAAAGCAGTGCATATGATATGGAAACACCACCAGACCAGATGGAGGTTACAAAACAAAGAAAACTAAATCCTCGACCAGCTCCAGGGCGTACACATACAGATTATTCATTCCTGTTGCTTCTACATTTTTCATCAGTGAGAAGCATAAATCAAGAGCTGGAGTTAGATTATGAAAAATAATTAGGAAATCAATAAGGAGATTACAATTCACATCTCATTAATCCTCTCATAGGCAGAATAGATTAGAGAAGAGCTAAAACAAAAGATTAAGTGCTTTGAAATGTACCTTTGGAGAAAAGGCAGAAGTAAAATTTTGGTTATCTACTTAAAGTAATAAAATTTCTAAAATACAATGTGTATAATTGGCTTAGAGTTCTTTAAGCACGTTTCACTTATTGAGAAAACATAATTATCTAAAACTTACTGTAGTACGACTGAAAAACTAAAATACAGGCAGGCTGGTAGGCTTTTTACTGCTCTTACACTAAAATATTTTGTAAACAAATTATATCCAGGTGTCTCTCAGTGCTATTATTTTGTTGTTTGTACACTTAAGTTCCATATGGGGGCCTCCTTAGGGAACTAGGCAATACATGAGTTCTTGTTACATTCCTTAAAATACACAACTCATCCTGTTACCAGTATGAACTTTTAAAGCAAGTCAACTGCATGCACAGTGAAAAAGAGCCAGGACTGCAAAGCATACTTGCATTATGGCCCTATTTTAGTCCAGCTAAATGATCCCCAACTGCTTAGCACACACCTGCCACATCCCACAGCATGTGCGAGTTTCAACTCTTTCCCACACTAAAGGAAAATCTTCCTTGGACTACCACTGTGAATGAACTGGACACGTAACCAGGTCCATCTGTCTCCTGTCAACACATACCCAAGTTTATCAGAGAGACAAGAGGACACCACGAAATATTCAGATCTGGAACACACTTATAAATCTTCCTTAAAGCAACAACCTCCACCTTCTGTTTTTGCTGACTATGCCCCAAAAAGTCCACTATGTTCACACAAACACCACAATACAAACATTCAATTTGCAGCTTCAGAAAACACATCTGACTCCTCAAGTACTACAACCTCTAGTTTAAGGCACTGCCACAGATCAGGGAAGAAATAACCACAGAACAATTCTGTTACTAATTAAATTTGTCAGACCAAGAGAAAGGAGCTTAGATTCACATAGTTGATGGTGAAAAATCTCCAAAACCGCTGCAGGAAGGGAAGATAAAAAAACCCCTGAGAAATGGGAACTTTCTGGCAACTGAAAATCTGCATTTATACTACAGCCAATTTGGGCCAAAGTCACTATCACGTAGTGAACAACAAAGAGTGGGCTGACAGCACTACAAAGGGAAAGCAGACAGAAAAAGATGCATGAAACCTTCTCTCTGGCCAACGTACACTTAAACTATCAATTTCTTCCTACTAAAAAAAGCTGCTGCCTCTTACTTACTATTCACAAGAATTTCTGATTGCAAAGCAAAGTCAACTTTTTTTAAATAGGTAGTAGCCCCCAAATAGAGGAAGCCCCCTCTATTTGAGACAATTCTTTATCAGGGTGGCATAACCAGTCTTTAAAAATACCACAGTCAGATTTAACGATACATTCAGGTAAAAGCCCATCCTGAACAGCAGTATTTGTTTTACTGTGCATACAGCCAGGAAGTCCCAGTATTGAATTGTTCCATACGGACATGGATCTCCTTCCCTGGCGTCTTCCTAAGACAGCCCCCCATGTGACAGCCATGCTCAGCAGACTGAAGGAAGGAGGACACATAAGCAGTGGAAGTGGGTGAACAGAGGTGGTTTCCCCTTCACTGCCTGCGCTGCAGCAAGGAAGGGGTTTGCTTCTCTCTAGAAGGGAGAGCCGGAGACCTGGAGGACTGCATGTTGTGTTTACATCCTAAAATGTTCATTTAATGTCTCTTCATTCAGTTTGGTTATGGAAGATCCTCAGAGGAGCCAAAGGACTGAACAATCACTCTCTGAAGTGT